CTGAAAGACAACAACACAACTCATTAGTGAACTCAAAACACCCGGCCCACCTCAACACACCTGACCGACCTCAACACACCTGACCGACCTCAACACACCTGACCCCACCTCAACACACCTGACCGACCTCAACACACCTGACCCCACCTCAACACACCTGACCCCACCTCAACACACCGGGGCCACATGAACAACACAACCGTTCACAACCAGCAGTTCTACTGGACTGAGTAACTTGCCTGTGGCCAAGACCCAGACCTCCGCCTGTGGGCCGGCGAGAGGGGGTTTCAGTTAGTGCCTTAACCCCCCCCCCACCCCAGCTAGTCCAGTACAACTGCTCATTCTCAACACCTATTATGGTACTTTTCCATATTCCTAGGCTCCAGGAGACTCGAACCGTGGACCCTGTGCGTGTCAGTTCGCAGCTCTATCGACTGAGCTATGAATACTGTTATTAGGGTACTGTTTGTGGAGGGTCCAGAGATGCCAGGTCAATGCTATCCCTGTCACTCACACACACACACACACACACACACACACACACACACACACACACACACACACACACACACACACACACACACACACACACACACACACATTTACACCCCTTGTGTCTATTTAACACAAGGGGAACACGCACAAGGGGACACAGGTGGAAACTGAGTGCCCAAATGAGCCACAGAGATATTAGAAAGAACTTTTTTAGTGTCAGAGTGGTTGACAAATGGAATGCATTAGGGGGTGATGTGGTGGAGGCTGACTCCATACACAGTTTCAAGTGTAGATATGATAGAGCCCGATAGGCTCAGGAATCTGTACACCTGTTGATTGACGGTTGAGAGGCGGGACCAAAGAGCCAGAGCTCAACCCCCGCAAGCACAACTAGGTGAGTACACACACACACATACACATAGGGGGGCTTGGTAGCCTGGTGGATAACGCGCAGGACTCATAATTCTGTGGCGCGGGTTCGATTCCCGCACCAGGCAGAAACAAATGGGCAATGTTTCTTTCACCCTGAATGCCCCTGTTACCTAGCAGAAAACAGGTACCTTGGAGTTAGTCAACTGTCACGGGCTGCTTCCTGGGTGTGTGTGTGTGGTATGGAAAAAAAGTAGTTAGTAAACAGTTGATTGACAGTTGAGAGGCGGGCCGAAAGAGCAAAGCTCAACCCCCGCAAACACAACTAGGTGAATACAACCAAGTGAATACACGCACATAGGAAAAATCCGAGAAGCAAAAGAAGAATCCGGTGTTTAATAGGGCATGTATGGAAGCAAAGGAACTGAACAAAAGGGCGTGGAAGAACTTCCGAAATAACAGAACACCAGAAAGTAGAGATATACACCAAAGAACAAGGAATGAGTATGTTAGTGTGAAAAGAGAAGCAGAGAAAAATTATGAAAATGATATAGCAAGCAAAGCCAAGACCGAACCAAAGCTACTCCACAGTCACATCAGGAGGAAAACATCAGTGAAAGAACAGGCAATGAAACTTAGAACAGGCGAGGACAGGTATACAGAGAATGACAAAGAGGTCTTCACAGTAGAATGAGGTTAGGTCGCTGCACTAGGAGAGGTGGCAGTAAACCGGGCGGCCTTGGAAGGGTTCGAAATTACGAGAGATGAGGTCAAGGGGCACCTGTTGGAACTGGATGTGAGAAAGGCTGTTGGTTTAGATGGGATCTCACCATGGGCATTGAAAGAGTGTGCAGAGGCACTTTGCTTGCCACTCTCCATAGTGTATAGTAGGTCACTGGAGACGGGAGACCTACCAAAAATATGGAAGACGGCTAATGTGGTCCCAATATACAAAGAGGGTGATCGACAAAAGGCATTGAACTACAGGCCAGTGTCCTTGACTTGTATACCATACAAGGTGATGGAGAAGATCGTGAGAAAAAAAACCTGGTAACACATCTGGAGAGAAGGGACTTCGTGACAAATCGCCAACATGGGTTCAGGGAGGGTAAATCTTGCCTTACAGGCTTAATAGAATTATACGATCAGGTGACAAAGATTAAGCAAGGAAGATAAGGTTGGGCGGACTGCATTTTCTTGGACTGTCGGAAAGCCTTTGACACAGTACCCCATAAGAGGCTGGAACATAAGCTGGAAAGATAGGTAGGAGTGACTGGCAAGGCGCTCAAGTGAATAAGGAAGTACCTAAGCAATAGGAAGCAGAGAGTCACTGTGAGGGGTCAGACCTCAGATTAGCGTGAAGTCACCAGTGGAGTCCCACATGGCTCTGTACTCGGACCTATCCTGTTTCTGATATACGTAAATGATCTCCCGGAGGGTATAGACTCATTCCTCTCAATGTTTGCTGATGACGCCAAAATTATGAAAAGGATTAAGACAGAGGAGGAATGTGTGAGGATTCAAGAAGACCTAGACAAACTGAAGGAATGGTCGAACAAATGGTTGTCAGAGTTTAACCCAAGCAAATGTAATGCAATGATAGGTGTAGGGAGCAGGAGACCAGATAAGAGGTGTCATTTGGGAGTTGAAATTCTTCAAGAGTCAGAGAGAGGGAGAAAGACTTGGGGGTTGATATCACGCCAGACCTGTCCCCTGAAGCCCATATCAAGAGGATCACTTCAGCGGCATATGCCAGGCTGGCCAACATAAGAACGGCCTTTAGAAACTTGTGTAAGAAATCATTCAGACCTTTGTATACCATACATGTACTTCTCAATCCTGGAGTATGCGGCTCCAGCATGGAGTCCATATCTAGTCAAGCATAAAACTAAACTGGAGAAGGTTCAAAGGTCTGCCACCAGACTAGTACCCGGGCTGAGGAGCTACAGTATGAGCTATGAGGAGAGACTACGGGAGTTGAACCTCACGTTGCTGGTAGACAGAAGAGTTAAGGGGGACATGATCACCACATACAAGATTCTCAGAGGAATAGATAGGGTAAAGACATGCTATTTAACACAAGGGGCACACGTACTAGGGGACAGGGGGCTCGTAGCCTGGTGGATAGCGCGCAGGATTCGTAATTCTGTGGCGCGGGTTCGATTCCCGCACGAGGCAGAAACAAATGGGCAAAGTTTCTTTCACCCTGAATGCCCCTGTTACCTAGCAGTAAATAGGTACCTGGGAGTTAGTCAGCTGTCACGGGCTGCTTCCTGGGGTGTGTGTGGTGTGGAGAAAAAAAAAGTAGTTAGTAAAACAGTTGATTGACAGTTGAGAGGCGGGCCGAAAGAGCAAAGCTCAACCCCCGTAAAAACACAACTAGTAAACACACAACTAGTAAAAAACACACACACACACACACACACACACACACACACACACACACACACACACACACACACTATATCACAGGGTAGGAGCAATGATTACACCACGAATCATCTCTACATTTCTGACTTTCTTCAGCTCTTGGGAGCCAATATTAACTCTCAAATGACCACAAGGACGCGTTTCACGAAAGGTCTTCTCATCTACAGTGAGGTGAGGTGAGAGGGAGATGAGGTGAGGGCAATACAGAACTGCCACCTCACACCTCACAACTGTCCCAGCAAACATCGACTGTGGAACACCGCGCCTTACCTCCTCCACACATGTGGCTGGTAAATATAACTTGGAATATACCACATATGTACTTCTCAATAAGCCAAATATGGACTATAAGCAATAAGTCATATATATGTACTGTCTTGTGCGAGAGCGGGTTGGGGTGGTGTGTGAGTGAGAGGAGTGTGTCACACACGTGCTGAGAGAGTGCCAGGTGAGGCCAAAACATGTGGTAGTGTGTCAGGTATGTCTGCGTGTCAAATGTCAGGGAACGTGTCAAGAGTGAGGTAGAACGACAGGGTTTCCCGGGTGCCAGATGTGAAATAGTGTCAGGAGTGACAGTGCCAGATGTGTGGAGTGCCAGGTGTGAGGGTGCTGAGTGTCAAGTGTGAGCAGAGCAACAAGTATGAAGGTGTCACAACTGTGGGCAGCAGCTGACAACCTGACACCTGTGGACAGCCGCTGACAACCTGACACCTGTGGGCAGCAGCTGACAACCTGACAACTGTGGACAGCCGCTGACAACCTGACAACTGTGGGCAGCCGCTGACAACCTGACACCTGTGGGCAGCCGCTGACAACCTGACAACTGTGGGCAGCCGCTGACAACCTGACAACTGTGGGCAGCCGCTGACAACCTGACACCTGTGGACAGCCGCTGACAACCTGACACCTGTGGGCAGCAGCTGACAACCTGACAACTGTGGACAGCCGCTGACAACCTGACAACTGTGGGCAGCCGCTGACAACCTGACACCTGTGGGCAGCCGCTGACAACCTGACAACTGTGGGCAGCCGCTGACAACCTGACACCTGTGGGCAGCCGCTGACAACCTGACACCTGTGGACAGCCGCTGACAACCTGACACCTGTGGGCAGCCGCTGACAACCTGACACCTGTGGGCAGCCGCTGACAACCTGACACCTGTGGGCAGCCGCTGACAACCTGACACCTGTGGGCAGCCGCTGACAACCTGACACCTGTGGACAGCCGCTGACAACCTGACAACTGTGGGCAGCCGCTGACAACCTGACACCTGTGGGCAGCTGCTGACAACCTGACACCTGTGGACAGCCGCTGACAACCTGACACCTGTGGGCAGCTGCTGACAACCTGACACCTGTGGACAGCCGCTGACAACCTGACACCTGTGGACACCAGCTGACAACTGTGGGCAGCCGCTGACAACCTGACAACTGTGGGCAGCTGCTGACAACCCGACAACTGTGGGCAGCAGCTGACAACCTGACACCTGTGGGCAGCTGCTGACAACCTGACACCTGTGGACAGCCGCTGACAACCTGACACCTGTGGACACCAGCTGACAACTGTGGGCAGCCGCTGACAACCTGACACCTGTGGGCAGCTGCTGACAACCTGACACCTGTGGACAGCTGCTGACAACCTGACACCTGTGGACAGCTGCTGACAACCTGACACCTGTGGACAGCTGCTGACAACCTGACACCTG